GAAAAGCCGTCGGCGTTGTCCCCCAAAGATGGTAAAGAAACTACGTCATCAAGCACGCGCCTCAGAAATAAAACACAAAGAACATCACAGCAACGCAGATGCTTTCTCACGGAAGCCGTCGTGAGGGCGGCGGGGTTCGCCACACCTGCACAGTGGAGGAGAGTGATGTCACCGCCGGAGCACCGTGTGCGAAAGAAAGACGTGGCGCGCTGCTTGTAAGAATGCGTTGCGTGTAGGACTGCTCTCGCATTACAACACGTAAGCAGACTTAAGTGTCTTCGGCGAGCTTTCTTTATCAGAATTTATAGACTAATATTTGGAGCTTTAGAGGCGTCATAAATTGCCATGATTTCTTTTTTTTTTATTACGTTGTATTTATTATTTATGTTTTAATTCTAATTCACTACTCTGGAAGGGTTTACGTTGATCGTGCTCCAAGCTAGAACGTTATGAATGATTAAACGTCGTATATAGAATCGGCAATTGCTGATTATCCCGTTGAATACTATGACGATGTTGAAGAATACAATAGTATAATTAATTTATTCGTGGCAAAGATACCGAAATGCATTTAACAAGAAAAATAAGACTAGCAGGAATCCGATAGTTATCAAGTATATGTCAGTGAATCAAAGAAACAACGCACTAAGTCATGTAGTGTCTATATGAATGCTTTACAACATAGCATTCACTAAACTTAAGAAAGAACGCTCTAGCTATAAAATAAAACGAAATAAGTGTTGTTAGGATACGTGTCACAAAAGTTCATGTGCTTTATTACTAATTAAATATTGTTATTAGCTATATTTATATACTCATTTAAGGGACGAAGCATAAATTTGAACATTACTAAACGCCTTGAGAAGCTTAAGTTTTAGAGGCAATATTTTTGTTTACTTTAAACATCAATCTTATTTGACAAAATGTAAGATAACATTGAGTAGGTTCAAACTGGACAACTGACTATGACCTGCTAAAGTATTAGAGTACAAAAATGCTAAACACGGATCTCTGCACTTGGCCTGCTGGACACTGCCGCTGGAACTGTCATGCAAACTTCCCGTCTGCTAGAGGTTTTCCTGGCTGCTGCCCTTGCGGTGGCTCTACCCGCCAGCCCGCCACTCTACGACCACCGTGGAGAGGAAACCACCTGGATTCACCCGCCACCAGTCCGAGTGGCTTCCGATCAGCCATTACCCTGCCCGCACTTCCTTCAGCTGACGCTGGCTCCCAACCACCTTAGGATCTGGCAACCGGGGACGTCATGTGATCCACGTGAAGATTGTCTACAAAAGCCCGCCCGATCCGCCTCCCAGTTGGGGCACGACATTGCCGCTGGAACTGTCATGCAAACTTCCCGTCTGCTACAGGTTAGTTATCTTAGCAACGCTGCTAACGCTCGTAACGGTTTCTGCTGTTTTATGGTGATGTCGTGCCCCTACGACTTGTCAGTGTGCCGTAATAATATTTTGAGATGTTTATTCAATTGCGCATACCACGCAATGATCTCCCATCTTTTGCTTTTAATCTCGGGAGATATTGAGACTAACCCTTGCCCTAACTCCCCCGTAAACAACACCATTCTCGTGGGCGAAGTCCGAAGAAGTTGTTACTAGTTTCTGCTTACATAGATTGGGCATGGAGCTGGACCCTTCCAACCTCGAAAGGTCCCATCGCTTGGGACGCTTCACTGAAAACAAATCCAGCCCTATAATTGTCAAGTTGCTACGTTTTAAAGATAAGGAATCAATCTTGGCGGCCGGTCACAAACTAAAAAATACTACTTTCGCCCTCCGTGAAGACTTTTCTGAATCAGCTCGCCTAGCGCGCGGCAAGTTATACCAGTTTGCAGAGCCGCAAAACGTGCCCTTTAAAATCCGCTTTGATAAACTTCACATTCATAACAAGCGTTACATTTACGATCCGGTTAGTGACTGCGTAAAGGAGCTTGAAGCATAACTAAATGGGAATAAAAAAAAACGCCTCCCGGCACCAAGCAACTCCCTATTGAAAAAAACAGTATGATTCTCAACCCGCCATACCCGAATTTGAACTGGGCAAAATGGAAATCGAACTGATTAAACTGGTGATAAAAGAAAACAAACTGGCCGACTTGGACCATTAACAAGCCAAACTGGCACCTTAACCTGCCAAACAGACAGCCAAACTTGCCAAACATGCAGACAAACTTGCCAAACAGGCAGCCAAACCTGCCACACAGGTCCCCGAACTGGCTAAACAGGGAACAAAACTGGCGAAACAGGGTGCTAAACTTGCCAAAAAGGAAGCAAAATTACAAAACAGGCAGCGAAACTTGCCAAATAGGAAGCAAAACTTGCCAAACAGGCAGCCAAACTGGGGAAACAGACAGCTGAACTTGCCAAACAGGCTAAACTGAGTGCTAGACAGGTGAAAGTGGTAGCAGAACTGGTCCTACTGGTATTCAAACTGTTCAAAATGGTGACTGAACTGGTTACACTGATAATCAAACTGTTTTTTAAACTTGTAGCAGTGCATTGTGGTGGAACTGTTCAAACTGGTAGCTAACTGCTCAAACTGGTAGTCAACCTGTTCAAATTGGAAATCGAGCTCCTCTAACAGGCAGTTGAACTGTTCAAAATCGTGTATATATACCGAAGAAAGGTTGTTTTATAATCTGCCTAGCAGCACACTTTGGTAAATTACTTCGTAAATGTAATTTAATTATAGTTACAACGTTTGCCGCCTTTTGCTCCAGCTTCCCAGAGCTTTGGTCTAAACAAACAAAACTATACCTTTGTCCGAAATAAGGTAATTACAATTAGGACTAATGAACAAAAAGTAATTCATTGCAATTTACATTACTTTTAGAAAGTAATGCAATTTCAGAATGGCATTCCTTTCTTTGAACTTTGAACCACGCCGACGTGGTTCAAAAAGCTCGGTCCGCTAAAGCTGCCGACCACCTGCCAGATTCTGCAAAGGCTGTTCGACAGTGGTACTGTGCCAGGAATGTGGCAATGAGCTTTGGTCACTCCGCTACACAAGGGAAAAGGAAGCCGACGAATGAACCAAAACATTACCGTCCTGTGTCAATCACCTCGATTGTCTGTCGAACATTTGAAAGGATAGTTAACAGCCAGCTTCTCAACCACGTTGAAGAATTCGGCTATCACTCTGACAGTCAGAATGGCTTTCGAAGAGGTTGCAGCTGCGAATCAGCACTGGCAACTATTACCCATTTTATCAGTGATCACATGGATAATCGAACCATGACAGATCTAATCCAACTTCACCTAAGCAATCCGTTCGATATGCTCGACATTAACCACCTGCTTGAGAAGCTTACACACGCAGGCATACACGGTTTCCTATTCACCTGGATATCAAGCTTTCTGCGGAATCGCAGCCAACAAGTTGCGCACTGTGGGGCACGCTCTACAGAGAGGGTCATGTCATCACGGGTGCCACAGGGCGCTGTCCTCGCCCCGACGCTCTTTCTCATATACGTGAACGACATGCCACGCAATGACAAGTGTATCCTAGTGCAATACGCAGACGATACATCAATCGCGACGACAATTTCGTCACAGTCTGACGCACGTCACTTGCAAAACCATATAGAAGATGTAGAGAGATGGATCTCGAGACAACACCTAAGCCTGAGCGCATCCAAGAGTTCCGTGATACGTTTCTCAAACTGCAAAAAACAGACAATTGCCCTGTATATACTGTAGCAGGCACTCCACTGCGCACATCAGAGCACCTGCCTATCTTAGGTGTCACGATTTCGCAAAACTTTGATTTTTCCCCACATATTGCCGGCATTATCGCGAAGTCCCTCAGGACGCTTGGCTTCATCACCCGCGTCGCAAGGCCAGGTGGGCCGTCGGTCCTGCAGGCACAATATACATCCTTAGTCCTGCCTTCATTGGAATACTGCTCTGCATGCAGTTTGGTCTCCCCCTCAACAACATCTAATTTAGAGACTGTAGAGTGTGCAGCGCCGTGCAACCCGCAAAATTTGCGCCTGGTCCCTGGCAAGACTGACGTGCCGTACCACGCACGGCTCAGAAAACTTGGCTGGCGGCCCCTCGATCAGAGACAAAGGATTTCTCGAGTCCGCGTGCTGTGCCGATTGCTCAATGAATCTCTTTCGGGGACTCGCCTATCGGCCGCCGTGCGTCTCGGTAGAAGATCAGGTCAGCCCGAACTTCTTCGAGGCAGCTAGGACTGTTCGTCACAGCGAATCCCTATTGCCCGCCGCCATTAGAGACTTTTTGACCCTCCCATTAGCTTCTCGTAGCCCTCTACCCACATCACACGATGAATCCCGGGAACTTTGCAAGGTATTGTCGAGACGAATGCCTTCGCGTCTGCAGCCATCATGATCTCCACTCCCTCACCCTCTCTTCCTCTTGAATCATCACCATTTCCACCGCCACCAGCAACATCATCGTCATCACCATCACCTCCATCATTACTGCCATCATAATTTTAATGCTTATAAAGCCGGGTAGTACTACTCCCAACGGACACAGCCGCAGGATGGCAGACACACACGCGTAAGGGTTTTTGCCTATCTGCTTTGCTTGGCTCACCGCCGTGTACGGACCAATTTAAGTGCAAATAAATCACTCACTCAATTGCCATCCTTTGAGCTACCCGACATCAATACTTTCATATAACAGCTTTGTCGGTCCGAGACCTATAGCAAAAATCGGATCTGTGAACTATGGCGCTGTACTTTACTACCTTAGTTTCGCAAGGTCGTGGATTTCATTAGTGATATGGTAAAAAATACTTGGCTCAGTCATAAGTTACGAAGGAATACACAAGAATACTCATTCCGAAACCAAAAAAAGCATCCTCGTAGGCCATTAGAATGTTTTATTTAACAAAAAGTGCAAGGGAAAGAAAAAGCTCTCATCTTACTGGTGTTCCCCGTTTTTGTTCATAAAACGTTCCAGTGGACCAGAACGTTTTCTAGCTTTGAGAAGAAAAGGCTTAACCACATGTCGGCCCATGCAACTTGTTATGTTTTTATTTGTAACTTTTGACTCGAGCAAGTTTCATCAATATTATCACATATAAAATTTCCACCACCTAGCTGAACTTGTATGGTAAATTACAGTGTTGTACCTCAGCAATCCGAATTTTAGGTCTATTTAAGTCTGGGCTCTACACACAGACCACCCGGTAATGGTCTTTATCCCTTAGTGCAATCAGGCAGCAGTGCTTTATTTTTCTTTCCACTTTAGTTCATGTTATAATATGCAATGCTTTACACAATAGAACCATTTTGACAAAATATAGCATCTAAAACAAGCAGCAAAGGACATAAATAGAACATGGTTGATGACAGTGAAGTTCAACAATGACAAAGCATGAAATGCAACGACTCTGTATTATTACCCAAAAGAAGGTAGTACCCTCTTTAGAGGTCTGCTCAAGCACAACACAGCAAACTCAAGCCAAAAAGTGCACAAACATGCACCACCAAAAGCATTTTAAGTTTGAAAGAGAAAAGTAATGAAGTATGTGCGATCACATGCAAGCGGTAATATTCTTCGGTTTTATCCACAACCCCTACCCATTTCGATCTGGATGAGCATCGAGCTGGCACATGTCCGTGTATTACTATTGCATGATGCACATTAAAGACCCGAGTCTAGAGGTTGCACTGCACTGGCTAAATTGCTCATCTACAGCGTAGAGACCTGTCGCATCACTTAAATGGCAGATAGACATTGCGCTCTTTAAAACTGATAGTGTATGTGGCCCATTAAACTGTTAATTAAAACATCAATCTACACATTTTGATTAATTAGTCAAAATATTGTGACATTTACCCCCTCATCTAATGTCTGCCGAGCCCCAGAAGCACACAGAGAAGACGGAATCTATGTACCCAACACAAGCTTTTTTTAAAATTCTGTAAAGAATGAGGAAAAAAAGCCCTGTATACATGTTAAAGAACTTTAGTCCCTCTCAATTTTGTTTGGCATGTCGCACACAAAGCACTTGCTGTCAGCCGGAAACACCATGAAAAGGCAGTTGGCCTTAATGTCCTCGGGTTTCAGCACCTTACAGATGTCTACCTACGAAGGAAAACATTCCTTTATATGCTCAGGAGAGAGTGGTGTCTCCCGTAACACCAGCCGTCTGCTAAGGAGCGTGCACCCGAGACCAGCAACATGGAGAATTCTCTTAATTCTGAAATACTCTCCATCAGCAGTTTACACTACAGTGGTGTCACTCTTTGAAGCTCTTGTGTATGCGGTGCTATGGAACACCTGCCCCTTGTACACAAAACGCTAGTATTCCAAAGCGCTGCCAACTGTGCCTGTCCCACCGTAGTCCTCTAGCGCACGTTCCTCGATAGATGTTAGAACGGCAGCTTTTTCACGTCCTAGCAAGCATGCTTCATCAACATAGCAGGCATTCTGGATGTGTGAATAATCAAGAAATCTTTCACACACACTCCGCTCATTGGCAGTGATTGCCACGTTGCTATCTGCCAGAAGGCATTCAAGCTGCTGCATCATTACGACTCGCTCTACGATTTGATCGGGAAGTCCTCTAGCTGCAGAGACCAGCTTCACCAACTTTCCGTTTCCTCCCTCAAAAACAAATGCGGATTGCGCCCAAAGTGGTCCCAACTGGCGCACGGAGTTGGGCAGGTGGAGGAGCTGGTGCACGTTGAACGTAAGCGAAGCCACTCCACACAAGGCCTCACAGCGACCAACAAAGTCGATCAGCAGATTTTCTGAAAACAAAAAAATAAGCATGCACAGGATATAATCTCAGATTATAAAATGAATGCATAAGATTAACTGAAATTTCAAATGCCGTGCAGCTCATTGGATGATTTCTGGGTGTGATTTCCTACCACAGTTACCTGATTTGCATGCTCTGAGACTTTACACACAACGTTCTGTCTAATCAATGCGGGTAGATCTTGACACTCTCATGAGACTGTCATACGGTATAAAAAAAAGACCTTTATGAGGCAAATAGAAGAAAAAAAAGTATGAAGCTTACCTGCACGCTTGATCTCCTCGGCTGTGATGGTCTCACGTTGCAAGATGTGTATTGCTTGCGAGAGCTTGGAGAGATGTTTCCAATACTCCAGAGGCAGAATGTCCACGAGGAGAGGAAGAGCGTAGAACAGAAGCCAGAGTCTCCATTCTGACGCTTTCCAGAAACTGCGCTCGTTGAGTGACCGAGGCAGCCTTGTCACACAGTGTGGTGGCTTGATCTGGAGGAGGCGGCTGTTGACCCGTGCCACGCAGGACGGTGCTCCTGTAAGCACCATAAGTGACTGGGCACATGAGTAATTTATCTTGCTTTAATAACCATATATATGAGGCTGTGTACAAAGTACAATCACTCCAAAATGTATTTATGAAAGTTCGCCTCCCTAGAATTTTGATGCTCAAACCCAAGGTTCAAAAGTGAAAAGTCAAACCATGAGGTTTAAAGAGGTTCGAGAAATTTCGGAATCAATCTTCCTAACATTTAAATTCATTACGCTAAAAAATATGACAATTTTCAAACTCTTCAATTTGAAATGTTCAATGAACCTCGAAGGTCAGTCGAATTTCTCAAACGCCAGGCTGTAATGAAATCAGTTTTACCTGTTTTGATTGGGCTAAGCTTTGGAAAAAAATTGTACCTATCTGTTCATGCATGCAGACTATGCGAACATAGGAACAAGCACATATCAGACGACAGGTCAGCTCGATGTTTGATCTGGTTTCGGCATGGCCAAAGCGACGTGGTACAGAAAGTCCATTTCACAGCGAAGTAGAAGCTTACGCTACATGTTAACAAGTGGTGACAGCACTGTATGTTTTTCAGCTTCTGCGAATGTGGTTGTGGGTGGTCTCAAAAGCCATAGATCAAGCATCTGTAGTGCGCCGTGCAAGTACAAAGAGTGACAAACAGCAAAATACAGTGGACATAAAGCATATATTGGATGCACTCCGGCCATCAAAGATGGGCACCCATGCTATGATTTTGCAAAACACAAACTAAAATTGAATGCCGTGACCATTTTGAAGAAAATCAACGTTGTTTTGTAAATAAACATGCTAAAATGACACTGTTACCATTTCTATACGTAATATTTTTCTTAGCTGCAACAAAATTAAAAAAAAAAAAAGAAAGAAAATGGGAGGTAGGGTAAATTGGGCCCGGGGCATGGTGGCCACTAGAAAAAAGGCAAATTTGGGTAATTAGTTAGCTAATGAATTAAGCTTGACCGTATAATGGTTTAGCCGTGCCGTCAAATTCTCGTTAAAAATTTGTGAACGCTACAGGGCCGAGAAATGTCACCCTGGTACACGGTGCCAAGTTGAAACTAAGCGAGCAAAAGCGCCGGTGACTTTATTGCTTTGTGTCACACTGCTGATGTCAGCTGCGGTGCGGGCACGTGGGTTGAAGCTATCGCAGCCGGCTTGGCTTGTTTAAGTGAAGCCGGCTGCAATAACATCGATTCTCGTGCCCCGCCACAGGGGGCGTCAGCAGTGTCATGCAAAGCGATGACATTACCGGTGCGATTGTCCGCTGTGTTTCAGTCCGATGCTCAGTACCGTGACATTTCTCGACCCCATAGTGCCTACCACAAATTTTTTAATCAAAATTTAATGGCACAGTTGGACCATATTGAGGTCAAGCCTACATCCTCTAGACATATTAGGTGCACTCAAGTGAAAAACTGAAAAGTTAATATAACATTTGAATTAGTCAGCTAACTTGTTACCTAATTTCGCCTTTTTTTCTAGTAGCCACCACGGCTACTAACACTGCCTCAGGGCTCACATTGCCCTATTTCACGTTCTATTTTTTTGAAAATTTGGAGCAGCTAACAAAGACACCCGTGTCGATAACATTTTGCTTAGCGATTATTATATGTATCTGTTAGTTTTAGACTTTTTACTTAGTTTTAGATACGTATTAAAAAATGTGACAAGCAGCTCTAGAGCTAATCAAAATCGGTCAACCAGCCTGGCAATTTTATTTTGCCCAATCTATGCCTAATCTTCTTGAAGGTTAAGCTAAAATTCTGATTTTACAGATCTGGAGATTTGGCAAAACCTTGGCAACCACTTAAAACTTGTTGTTGGCCGAGTTGGTTCATGATGCAGTATAGAGGTTTTTTGCGCTTGTCCGTGTCTACTCGCTTGTAATTGTCCCCTGTGTCGCGCAAAAAACCTCTATACTTGGCAACCACTATTGGCATTTGTGTCAGCTTCAAAGGGACGAAAATGCTGTTAAATATAGAGTTACGCCTAGAATATGCAAAAATGTTCCAAAAGCCGGGTGAATTCATGATTGAAAAGGTTTACTCCGACTTAACATAACAAATTAATAACAAAAGGTACAGACGTTTCGCCACCTATCCAGGTGGCGAAACGTCTGTACCTTTTGTTATTAATTTGTTTTGTTAAGTCGGAGTAAACCTTTTCAAGCCTAGAAGATATTCTGATAAAAATGATTAATAGCATGAAGATGAATTTGAGACTGTGCGAAACTCAGACCCCATAAAATTTGTACCTTGCGATCTCGGACTGATAGTCCGAGGTTGCAAGGTTCAAAGTATTCAATATCTTCAAACTTTCGAACTCGAACCTTGGGAGGTTTGCAACATCTCTAGGTTTGCCCGGACTGTGGAGCTAGTAACCAGGGGGAACCCTCACTGGAGAACTCCCTGCTTCTGCTGAGTGGGCAAGTAACGAGCAGGAAACGCGAATAGTACTACCATGTAAAGATTCAAGTCAGGAATTGGCCTGGTAAACGCCATTAAGGTAAAAATAGGTCGAAGAGGTGCCACAAATTATGAAAAGAGCAACTTATGCGCCAACTTGTAACTGGAAATGAGACATTTTGGTACTGTACGACGTACCTATGTAGAACCGTTTTTGAGAGTTGGATGAAGAAAGCAGCAGTTCTGTAAACTGCTTTGCTGCTCCTTGAAGAACGGCGTGCATATACTCGACGCTCACTCCACCCACAAGATCAAATCCTGAAAGTAAATGTTAAATGTCTCTCAGTTTCTAAATCTAGGGACTGCAAAAAAGCATGCAACTGACGAATCACAAGTTCAATAATTCCAAGAGTATAGCTGGTAACAGTGTATGACATTGAATCTATTAGTGTACCTCCTGCTTTTTCCGTGAAAGAAAAAATATTATTATTTTAACTCCGCAAGTATGCTGGTCAGCTACTCCGTGAATTGGAAAATCAAAACATCAATTAGGTGTTCCAAAAGGTTTCTCTGAAACCGAAATAGAGTACAATTTTATTGAACGGTCGATTGCCGATCGGAGAATATTGACAGGTTTTACCATCGAACACCATTAGAAAATGCTCTTCTTAGCGCTTCGTACAAATGAACATGGACGTGAATTTCAGAAGAAATTTGCGTGTATGTACTGCCTCTACTGTCTGTTTCAACGGCAGCTTTCTTAAAGACCACTGTTGGCTAAGCTTATATGAAAAAAAAATTAGGGGGGAGGTGGCACTCTTACAAGCATAGGAAGGCAGAATGCTAGCCCTGCCTCTGCCGTGGCCCTATGACTTTGTCCCCAAGCTTTGCAAAGGAGGGAAGGAAGGGAACAGTCTTGTCTTACTCTTGAGATTACACAGCAATCACAAAACTTGTGGCTCAGCAGTGTTACGTGTGAGTATACTTGTGTCACGCTTGTGTCAGTATGCTTGTGCGAAGTACTTCGCATCTTTCAGTTGGGCGCCACTGATCACCGATTTTTCCACTGTTGCAGCCTGAAATAAGTATTGGCCTGCAAACTTAAAATAGAAAATTTTAAGTTTGCAAGCCTCAAGCACTATCGCCCCCTGGTGCACTCTAGTGCACCAGGGGGCGATAGTGCTTGAGGCGAAACCGTTCATCACGAGCTGAAAGAATTCTTGGGGTGTCGATGATCCTTTCAAGAACGAATTTTTTTTTAGAGTGAATGCTGCACTGATTTATGAATTTGAAGACTTCACGTACTTAAAAAAACATCCTGAAGGCTGCACTTATCTGTTCAGCTTCTCTACGGCTGATTATTCAGGAACAAAAATCTTGTGACATCCCGACGTGTCACACGAAAATGCAGTCAGCGCCTGGAAACAGCCGAAGCAGTTCACGCTCACAAAGTCCGTTTCACGGACGGGAAGACCTTCTTCAGAGAGACGAGCGTTTTGTAGAACTATGTCCAGATACACCACACTTCGAAAGCTTCTTTGGTAACCTTCTTCCTTATATGGACCTAAGTCTTTCTACAAACATGATTTATTAAAACGATCGATTATAGACACATTTGACTGCGGAAGAATTTTGCGTCCGCCCCGGCCGTCGGTCGCAGGTCATCTCTCTCGCTCTTCGGCAGGAAGCCGTCGGGGAGGGCTGCGGCATTTATTTTGCCACGCGGTCGGGTATTTTGTATTGTGTCGGGAATCCCTTTTCCGTGACAGAGACTCCTACGGGTCAGGAGTTCGACTCGCGTGTAACGTCGTAGTGGGCCTCCACACGCCTTTTCAAGTAATCAGCGCAATACACGCGCTTCGAACTGTGATGTTCAGCCATTAAAAACTGCGAAGGATCCGTAGACAAGCAAGAGAAATCACAGGCGGAACTCAGGAAGAAACCGCTCCCAGCCTGGTCACTTCCGTGAAAGGGTAGTTCCTGCAGCTGGATCTCACAGGTCACCAATGGTTTGTTGCGCCCTTCTACTTCCCGGCCACACACACGGGCAGTCTTATTGTGGTGCCATTACCTCGCGTGTCAATTTAACGCCATCGGCCTCGATCCCGGTTCAATAAAAAGACGAGTGCAAGTGGAGCCTCTCAAGTTCGTTCACACACCGGGTTTTGTAAACAAGATAGTTGGCAGAATCCAGAAACCGGTACAGTGTCTACATTGTTCATGGCGCTTGTATTTTGTATAAAGCTGAAGCATATATTTATAAGCAGTTCATCTTAACAAACTCGTGTCACTGTACTGACTGCTCCGAACTTTAATATATGTTTTTGGTCATTTTCTTGCCCCTTTTTTTGAGATCGGCCAAATATAATCTTTCTGTATTCCAGCAAACGCAGTTCTGCTAATTCCGTGGTATTGGGCGCGCCGTAAATAAAAAAAAAAAAAGAATTGCAAAATGTTTTTAACGAGCCTGATAGGGCACAATATTGACCTACATTGGTGAAGACTGAAACAAAAGTAAAGATGGCCTTGTTTTAAATGATTTTCGAGATCTTGTATGAATGTGGAACACACTGGACTCAGTCATAAAAAAAGTTTCCGGAACTTTTAATTGCGAGTTACAAAGCTCTGAATATGGATTATTTTGCATTATGGGCCACGTTTGTGATTTTGATTGCAAAATACAATGACCTGTAAACAAAAGCATTTTCACTCATTGTGGTCTATGTGCAGTTTCTGTACAAAATATATTAAGCCCACAGAAACAACAATTAGGGCTTATAACTATCCAATGTTCCGACTTCGCTCGAGTCGGCAAGTGCCCAGTTGAGAGCGGCTTTATGACTTTTGTTCCGGAAAAAATATTTTATTAAAAAAAAAGAAGTTTGAATACGTTTTATTTGGCGCACAAGCAACAAAGTATTTTTTCGTTTTTTCATTAGAATTAATAATGCCAATCGGAAGACCTTATTCTTTCTTATCTAAAACGGCACAGTAAGAGCAGTAATGCACGTTTATTACGCCACAAAAAGAAGGCATACTGGTAAGGGGAGTGCGTCGATGGCTCCGAGGCCTAGACGTCCTGGCGCATATATTACACACACGTTGAGTACGCAGAGAGAAAGGTAGATGTGCACCTCTAGGCCCGACTCACGCAGAAAGTCTAAGAGCGAGCGCAAGGTGAAGGCCCGTGGATATCTTGAGGATCGGTCTGGAAGTTCTCCAGGAAGGCTACTTCACTTCTAATCGGAGCGCCTCTTTGGCTGCGGTCCCTTAGAAGAAGCAGGTGCTCTTGTGCAGGCGGTATTGGTACGGATTCCCCTCAGGAGAATAAAGGCGGGCAGCGCGCTAGATCCTATACCGGCAGGCTTCGCCGTAGCAAATCCCTGCACGAAAGCTTGATGGGTGGTTTGTTCTTCTCGGGGTCAGATTACTCTTCCACTTCGCCTTCTTACAAGGAGCTGTCACCGCACGCGGCCACGTGGTCGAAACCAAAAGGTGCCAATGCGCAGGTGTTCTCGAAAACGGGCCGTCCCCACTAATGGGAGAAGATTTGGTGCTGCATGCATGTTGTCTAATGCAAATGAGCAGAGTATCATGTATTCTTATATAGTCGTTGACTGGTTAAGAGTGCTTGACAAGCTCGTCCCGTTCGAGAGGATCGAATGAGGAACTCGCATCCTCTCCAGCGTTCGCTCTGCTAAAATAGAAAAAGTTGAGGGCTTCGCTCGAGGAGCGGGTCTTGCACTCTTATTCTGTCATCAACCGTCGGGGGAGAAGATCCAACCGCTGCGCTCCAAGCGGCTAACTTTAGGACTACACCCATGGGGACAACAATAACAATGACGCAGCGCTCGGCTGCCGCAGTGGGTCGTGCTCGCATCCTCTGACGACTGCTTTGGAAGTGATCCGGCTTGTCGTGTCCCGCCAACGTAACTCCGTTTATTGTCAACGCATTTCACGTTATGTAAGACGCAGTCCACACGTGTTGTGTTGGGTAAACACCGAACTCTGTGGAAAACAAGCTGCAAAGACCTCCCGCTCATGTTCGATCTCCTCGCCTACACTGTTAGAAAATTCCATCAATCTACGTGGAAAAACCGACTAGAACATGTCCCGTTTTCTGGAAATGCACATAATGTGCTGTTTGCTTTCAAGAACGGGAACTGTACCATATGCATTGAAATGTGCTATTTAAGCAATAAGTATGAGCTTATCCGTATCAATAAAAAAAGCCTGACAAGATTACAGTTTATAGTCTGGTCAACTGGTATAAGCAAATTGAACGCGCCCAAAAGTGCCGGATATCCAGGAATTTTTATGGAACTCAATCAGACCGCGGAAGTACAGCGCCCGTGAGCAGAGTTACGCCGCGCGAAGGAAGACATCTCTCTCCCGCGCATGCGCAGGCCGCTGCCGGCCAGCGTGGGCCCGGGTAGAGCACTATATAGCTACTTAGGAGCAGAGTAGCGCAATCTAGAACGCCGTCTCTCGGCGACTATACTTTGTCTCACCCTAACATGGACTAACCGCGAAGGCTGTGCTAGCGCGAGCGGCCAGCCTTGACTACCTTGACTAGAGCACTTGCAGCACGATCGCTCGTGCAGCCGCCGCGGCTTCATTCAAAGCGACTAGCTCGCGGTTTTAGCACGTGCGGCTATCAATAGTCCATACGAAGGTGAGATGAAGTATAGCAGCGAACGCCCGGAGGTTCCAACTGCGGTCAGAAATGCATGGGGAACGTGAGAAAATCGTTGTTTCTTCAGTTTTGTGGGGATGCGCGGAATGGAAATTATTTTTGACATAATAATGACACATTTTAGAATAATATGCGATAAGTTTTGTGCCATACAAGGACGTAACTTTTTTTAAAAATTGCCTGAGCGGCATCATGCAGCAGACGACACGGCGACGTCACACCATTCACGTGACCCGCTCCTGCCAACCCGAAAAGCCCATCTCCGCTGCGAGCAAAAATCGTCTGCTTCAAACGCCATTGCCTTGGAAATTGCCTTCTCAAAATTTGCACACGTATCCGATATTATTAAAACTTTGATAAACTGTTTAGTGCTTTACTAACTTCACGACAGACTAGTTTTGAAAAGTGCGAACTCGCCGTTCATTTCTTAATCAGCCGTGTTGTGTCGATCTCCATGTATTCTCCCATAGGGCGGGCCGCCTCCTGGAACCCTGAGTACCACGTGACTCGCGCCGAGCCGCTCTGTCGGCCATGTTGTCGGCAAAACACGGGGTTCAAAGGATTGCGCTACTCTGCTCCGTAGGAGCCATATACACTCCATGCGGGAACTATAGGGGGTGCT